CTTCCCTTGTTGTCCCCTCGTTCTCTGACACCATTTCCCTTGTCCCTCGTTTCAGTCCCTCTTTCTCCTGACAGCCATTTCCCTTGTCCCTCGTTCAGTCCCCTCTTCTCTGACACCATTTCCCCTTGTCCCTCGTCCAGTCCCCTCGTTCTCTGACACCCATTTCCCTTGTCCCTCGTTTCCCTCGTTCTCTGCACCCATTCCCCTTCGTGTCCCTCTTTCGTTCCCTCGTTCTCTGACTCCATTTTCCCTTGTCCTCGTTCAGTCCCCGTCGTTCTGACACCCATTTCCCTTGTCCCTCGTTCAGTCCCCTCGTTCTCTGACTCCCATTTCCCTTGTCCCATTCAGTTCCCCTCGTTCTCTGGACCATTTTCCCCTTGTTTCTTGTTTCATTCCCCTCGTTCTCCTGACATCCATTTCCCCTAATTGTATTCATTCCCCTCGTTCTCTGACACCCATTTCCCTTGTCCCTGTTCAGTCCCTCGTTCTCTGACTCCCATTCCCCTTGCCCTCATTCAGTCCCCTCGTCTCTGAACCCATTTCCTTTGTCCCTCGTTCAGTCCCCTCGTTCTTTGACACCCACTCCCCTTGTCCCTCGTTCATCTTGACGTTCCCTCCCTCAGACAACCCATTTCCCTTGTCCCTCGTTCAGTCCCCTCGTTCTCTGACACCCATTTCCCTTGTCCCTCGTTCAGTCCCCTCGTTTCTCTGACTTCCATTTCCCTTGTCCCTTGTTTCAGTCCCCCTCGTTCTCTGACTTCCATTTCCTTTGTCCCTTGTTCATTCCCCTCGCTCTCTGTTTCCCTTGTCCCTGTTCACCCATCTTCTCTGACACCCATTTCCCTGTCCCTTTCAGTCCCCTCGTTCTCTGACACCCATTCCCCTTGTCCCTCAGTCGTCCCCTCGTTCTCTGACACCCATTTCCCCTTGTCCCTCGTTCAGTCCCCTCGTTCTCTGACACCCATTTCCCTTGTCCCTCGTTCAGTCCCCTTCCCGTTCTTCTGGACTCCCATTTCCTTGTCCCTCGTTCAGTCCCCATCGTCCTCGTTCTCTCGTTCTCTGACACCCATTTCCCTTGTCCCTTGTTCAGTCCCCTCGTTCTCTGACGCCCATTTCCCCTTGTCCCTCGTTCAGTCCCCTCGTTCTCTGACGCCCATTTCCCTTGTCCCTTGTTCAGTCCCCTCGTTCTCTGACGCCCATTTCCCTTGTCCCTTGTTCAGTCCCTCGTTCTGTTCTCTGACGCCCATTCCCTTGTTCCGCTTGTCCAATTTCCCCCTCGTTCTCCTGACTCCCCATTTCCTTGTCCCTTGTTCAGTTTCCTCGTTCGTCCCTATTTCCTTGTCCTTTTTCAGTTCCCATCGTTCTTGACCCATTTCCCTTGTTCCCTTGTTCAGTCCCCTCGTTCTCTTGACGCACCATTTCCCTTGTCCCCTTGTTCAGTCCTTCTTCTTGCGCCCATTTCCTGTCCCTTGTTCAGTTCCCTCGTTCTCTGACTCCCATTCCCCTCTTCTCTGACTCCCATTCCCTTTGGCCCTCAGTCCCTCTTCTCTGACGCCATTCCTGTCCCTTGTTCGTCCCCTCGTCTCTGACCCCATTTCCCTTGTCCTTCAGTTCAGTCCCTCGTTCTCTGACTTCCATTTCCCTTTTCCCCCTCATTCAGTCCCCTCGTTCTCTGACCCATTTCCCCTTGTTTGTTCAGTCCCCCTCGTTCTCTGACATCCATTTTCCCTAATCCTTCTATTCATTCCCCTCGTTTTTTGTAACTCATTTCCCCTTGTCCCTCGTTCAGTCCCCTCGTTCTCTCACATCCATTTTCCCTTTGTCCATTTCCCCTTCGTTGTTCAGTCCCTCTTTCTCTGACACCCCATTTCCCCCTAATCCCTTTTTCATTGCCCTCGTTCCTTGACACTCATTTTCCCCTTGTCCCTCGTTCAGTCCCTCGTTCTCTCTCACATCCATTTCCCTTGTCCATTTCCCCTAATCCCTTGTTCATTCCCCTCGTTCCTTGACACCCATTTCCCCTTGTCCGGCCCAGAGTACCCTTTGAACATCCCGCCCACTTTACACGCGGACATTGCAACACAGCTGTCCCGTAAAGTCATTCGGCTTCGCCCCCTTTTTCCCACTTAGCGAGGCGAGCGAAAGCACACTTTGACCTAATTTGCAACGTCAAGGGCGGAAGGGTGAAAAAAATAGCCTCTCTCCAGCTGATTGCCATTGATCGCCTCCATCCCCCAGGCCCAGTTGCAAGCGCAGCAAGAGGCGGAGGCCATGGCGAGGGCGCTGCAGGAACCCGTGACGCTGGGCACCCTCAAGCAGGACTCCCTCATGATACCGGTGGCTAAGATGAAGCAGTTCTTCCCGGCGGGGCATCCGGTGAGTGAGAGAGAGCGAGAGAGAGAGAGAGAGTGAGAGAGAGAGAAAGAGAGAGAGAGAGGGAGGAGAGAGGGAGAGGGAGGGAGAGGAGAGAGGAGAGGGAAAGGGAGATGGAAGAGGAGGG